GGGCGGAGAAGGGGCAAAGAACGCACCTCGCGTAGTCGCAGCAGCACAGGCAGCACCACGTCCGGCGCCTCGCTCTCCGCCTGCGCCAAGCCTCGCGCAAGGCGGCCCGTAAAGTTGCTGAGTTCGGCATTGAGGCTCTGCGCCGGCGTGGTTTCGCTGGCAGTGAGCGTGTATGCTGATGCATCCGTGGCACGCTGTTGGTGGGGTTGGGGCAAGAGAGAGAAAGAGCGGGTGGTGTGTAGGTCAGCGAGTGTGCTGAGAAACGGGTGCGTGGGCAACGGCTCGCCCCCCTGTGGCTTTTGGGGCCAGCACAAAGCTCACCATACTGCTGGCTTTGCCCATCACACCCTCCAGTGTTTGCTCCACGCCCGCTGCGACGCGCTTCAGCAAGGTAGGATCAAACCTGGCCGCATCGAGTTCGTTTGCCACGACACGGGCGAGCGTCTCGGCATTGACGTCTGCCAGGATCGCTGCTGCTGCTCCTGCAGCGCGCGCAGGCCGTTGAGAAAGAGCGCCGCCGCTGCCGCTGGGAGCAAGTGTGCCGCTTGCTTCTGAAAGACGTGCAGCACTGCGTGTGAGATAGGCGGTCTCGAACTGCGAGACGCTGCGAAGCATGAGGGATGTCTCGGGACTGTTGTGGGGGAGGGGGGGGGGAAGCGCATGCGAGTCTCTCAGCTTGAGAGTTGCCAAAATTTTGAACGGCAGCCCGCGCGCTCGATGCGCCCACACTCACCTCTGCTCAAGTTGCGTATACGTCGTGCCAGTGAAGTTGGAGACGCGGTTGAAGAAGTCGGCAAAGAGACGCAGCAGGCGAGGATAGCCTGCTCCTAGCGCTTCGGCTACGAATGGCGAGGCTGTGTGTGTGTGTGTGTGGGGGGGAGAGCAAAAGGCCGCATCAGAGTCTGCTGCTGCTGCTCCCGTTCTTAACCCCCCCCCCTCCCTCCCGCGTGGAAAGGAGGAGACTCACACTTGGCAGCTTCCCGAGTGGCACTCTCGAGCGATTGAGACACGGTAGTCCAGAACAGAAAGCTGGGTAGATCGCCAAGGACCTGTTTTGCCGCGGCGGGGAGGGAGGGGGGGGGTGTCGTGATTTGCACTCCATCAGCCTCTCTCTCTCTCTCTCTTACTTCTTCCCCCACCCTCTCCCAACCACACAGTACTCACGCTCAGTGCCTCGTCCAAGAAGTTGACGCCCGTGGCGCCGTCGTTCTTGAGGCGCAGCACTCGTTCGAGCGTGTACACCTTTGCGCACACGGCGCCCATTTCGGCGACGAGGAGCGTCTCGAGGCGGCGCCACAGCGCCGCCGTCCATGCCTGCGCCGCGCCCACGTCGGCCGCGGGTGCGGGCGTGAAGTTGCGACGGGAACGATAGGAGGCGTACGACGAGGGCGTGGGCGCGGTTGTAGGCTCTGCCAAGACGATCACCCGATCAGCGTCAGCTTCCGGGCGACAATACGCAAGAGAAGGAAAATGAAGCCTGGCAGCTGGAGGAGCAATGACGTACCGCGAACACCAGTCTCCTTGGCCAACGTTCCAACGTCCAATGCAGCACGCACTCGTTCACGGATCACATCTGTCAGATCGGCCAGTAGATCTCTCACGAGTGCGGGCAGTTGGGCGAGGTTGAAGGCCGTCTGCAAAGACGTTGCCAGGAGAGCTGGCGACTGTTTTTCCCCCACACCACACCACACCATGTCATCAGCAATGAAGGCGAAGACGGAAAGGCCCGGGGCGGGGCGGGGGGGGGGGGGGACCACATACCAAATCGCGCAATCCTCGGACGACCATGTCCTCCATGGCGTCCGTGACGCCCAGACGCCATTCGTCGATGAGCGGCAGGTAGGCATTGACGAAGTCGAGCTGCGTCAGAGGCAGCGTCTCGCCCGTGTGCGCGCTGAAGTTGCTCGAGTCGGAGCTAGACTCGTCGGAATGCGAGGAGGAAGAAGAAGAAGAAGCGTCGCTGACCGCGCCTTCGTCGTCGTCGTCGGAGGAGGAAGAGGCGGACGCAGGCGTTGAAGCGCCATTCTTCCGCACCGAGTTGGCTTGCGTTGAGTTCGGCTTGTCGCTCTCAGGCGTCGCCAAGAGTGCCGCTTATCACTCGTTGCATCAGCACATCATTCCTCCGCTTTGCCCTTTCCTCCCTCTGTCTTCCTTCTCTCCTTTGGAACTCACTAAGCTCCCTCACACAAAGTGCCGCTCTAGCCAATCCCCTTCCCTTTGCCTCTCCCTCCTCCTCCGTCATGCCAAGCCACTGCATCTGCTTCTCCAATCTCTGCGCCAGCGTCACAAATCGCGCGGCGCGCGCCAGCAGCATTTCTGCGCCTCTGACGCGCGCGAGGCGACGGCGAGATGTTTGCAGCGTCGAGTAGGGCAGGGAGATGCGAGAGGAGAGAAGAGAGAGAGAGGAGCGAAGAGAAGAGAGGGAGGATTGACTGGAGGAAAAAGAAGAGGAGAGAGAGAGAATGGCGTTGGTGTGCGAAAGCAACAGTGGCGCATGTTCCGTCACCTGTGTTTTTTGCGGCGCAGTAAGTAGCAGATGCACATCTCAATCAGTCAGGTTCATCTGCTCGCCCTTTGCCACCTCCTTGCCCGACTTTCTCCCTGTCGTGCAAGAACCAACTCACCTCATCTTTGATCACTCTGCCCACATCGTCAATGGCCAGATTCAACCTGCTCAGCGCCACCGACACATCTCCCTCGACATCCTTGCCCGCCGTGCTCTCCCTTTGCCCTCGTTGCTGCTGCTGCTGCTGCTGCTGCTGCTGCTGCGGCGGCGAAGAGATGGCATCGCACTGCTCGGACGGCTGCTGCGAGGGCTGCGCAGGCGTCCACGGCTTCGTAGCCGCCGTCGCCTTCGCAGCCGCCGTCGCCGTCGCAGTCGCAGTCGCAGTTGCACCCGCAGAGGCGGAGGCGGAGACGGTGAGCCTCGATGGCGTTGCCGCAGTCGTCGTCGTCGTCGTCGTCGTCGTCGTCGCAGCAGCAGCAGCAGCAGAGGCGGACTTGGCTTCGACGCCTGCTGCGGAGCGTCTGCCTGCTGCGCCGCCGCCTGCGCCTCCTGCTGCAGCCTCGGAGGTGGCGTCCAAGATGCGATTGGCATATCCTTGTGCCTCAAAGTCGGCCTTGAGAAACGCCGCGAGCTCTGCCAAATGCGTCTGCATCAGTCCCCGCCTCGCTTTCTTTCTCTCCTAGCGCGCAAGACCCACACACACACACACACACACACACACACACACACACACACACACACACGCACGCACGCACCGATGCTAGGACCCAGATTCGGCACACTGTTCTTCAAGCGCGCCAGCAGCGCAGCATCGAGATGGATCGCCTGGTGGCTTGCTGAGGCAGCCTTGTCGCTGCTGCTGCTGCTGCTGCTGCTGCTGCCGTGTGCAAGCAAGGCGAGCGCGGCATTGGCTGCCGCTGCGCCACTGCCGGCACCACTGGCAGCGGTGGCGCGCGCCGAGGGTGCGTCGAGGCTCGGCATGAAAGAAGGGCAGGGAGGATGGTGGTGAGACGGATAAGGCGAAGGCGCGCATCGAGCTCTCGGCGCGACTGCCACTGCAGCGAGGCGCGCGGCAGGCGCCTGCAGGCTGCTTCTGAGCTGCGCGCGCGGCGCGTCTCTTTGTGGTCCGTGCATCTTTGCCCTCCACCACCTCCTCCCTTGCCTGCCTGCCTGCCCTCCATGCCGCCAGCGCCCTCCTCGACGCGCACCAAGGTGCAGCTCAAGCTCGTCGTGCAGCGTCTGCGCATGCTGCAGGAGAAGAAGTCCACGCTGGCCAAGCGCGACCGCAGGGACGTGGCCAGCTTGGTGGAGAAGGGCAAGCTCGAGACGGCGCGCATCAAGACGGAGGGCATCGTCGCCGAGGATGTGAGTGAGGAGATGGAAAAAGGGAAAGGGCAATCGTGAGGGCAGGGCAACGAGGAGATGGATGGATTGGATGAGTAGGACTGCCATTTGGTTTGCTTTGGCACCACAGCTTCGAGAGAGGCTGGCTGCTACTCTCTCTGCGAGGAAAAGCGCCGGCGAGGGCGCAGCCGGTGCCGGGAGTAGGCAAGAGGCCCGGCCACGCTGACACACCTCCCTCCACCCCACCCCAAGATCCACGTCGAGCTACTAGAAGTGCTCGAGCTGTATGCTGAGATGCTCATTGTGCGTTCTATCTCTCTCTTGCGTTTGCATCTCTTGCCTCTCCCTTTCTGAAGCCTGCCTCCTTCGCACCCATAGGCTCGATTTGCACTGCTCGATCTCCCCGGGTATGTTTCTTCTCTTCCCTTTTTCTTTCCTTTTCTCCGCGCCCCCCCTGCTCACCTCCCTTGGCGGGCAAAGGCGGGAACCAGACGCCTCCCTCCTGGAGCCTCTCTGCGCCTTGATCCACGCGGCGCCGCGCACCGAGCTGCGCGAACTGCACGCGCTGCGCGAGATGCTCATGGCAAAGTACACGCGCGAGTTTGCGCTGCGAGCCACGGAGAATGCCGATGGCTGCGTGCCGAGTAGAGTCACCGACAGGCTCAAGGCTCAGGTGCAGCAGAGGGGCTTTGTCGATAGCTACATTGCTGAAGGTGAGTGTTTGTCAAGGCGGACGCGCGGCGACGAGGCGCCAAGAGAGAGAGAGCAGCGCGAGGCCTGCGCGCTGGGGGTTGGTTGTGGGAGGTGAAGAGCAAGGGGGCCAGGGATGAGAGCCAGCACGTATTCTGCTTGGGTTTTTGGGCCAGGCTGCCTCCCCCCCACCCCCCCCCCCGGCGCTGTCGTTGGGGGGGGGGGGGGAATGGAGGAAGCTGACATTCCTTCGTGTGCCTTTCGTTCCTTTCCTTACTCTCTCTCTCGCCACCTCAGTTTGTCGAGCATACAACGTGCCCTTTTCCTCGCCGTACCTAGAGGAAGCGACACTCGATGCCCCGCCGTCGCTTCCCTCCGACTCTCTCGCCGCCGATGCCGCTGCTGCCGCCGGCAACCATGTCAACGACGGAGGCGACGAATCAACAGCCGCACAAGCACTGTCGGACAAAGCTCCAATCGCAGCACAGTCCGACGCGAGAGTGGCAGCGGCGACGGGCACGCCAAAGACGCCGGGCGCTCAGGTGCCGGGCGGCGGCGGGGGCGGGGGCGGTGCAGCGGCAACTACGGCGACGGCCGCAGGGCCGAGCAAGGAGGAGAAGGCAAAGAAGAACGCAGCGTCCGCGTCCGCGTCCGAGGTGGATTCGTTGGAGGCGCGCTTTGCGGCGCTCAAGAAACGCTGATTTGGTGGCGTGGCGCACGGAGCGCGCCGCGGCGCAGGATGGAGGATG